CCCTGCCAGGGCCCCACACCCAGAGTCCTGAGTGTGGGCATGGTGCCCCGGGCAGGGGAGCCTAATGTACTGAGGTGAAAACCAGTCTGCTCAGGGTCTTAGGAGTCCAAACAGGCCACAGGGTGGCCAGCTCTGCTCAGGGGCAGCCAGGCTGCACTGTGGACAGCACAGGGAGGACTCAGGTCCCCACAGAGGGCCTGTGTGTTAGTGGCCAAACCCAAACCAGACTCCCAGCCACCGAGCTGACGCTGATGCACGGCGACCCCACAGGGCAGAGTGGAACTGCTCCACGGGGTCCCGAGGCTGCAGATCTATCTGTACAGGAACAGACAGCCTCCTCTTTCCCTCACCGAGGGGCTGGCGGGTCTGAACCGCAGACCTTGCAATTGGCAATCCAGTGCTGAACCCCTGACCCCTTCACCCCCAGGACTCCTGCATGGTGGAAGGTGGGAGTGGCTTCCTCTACACCAGCGGTTCTCAACCTGTGGGTCTCGACCCCTTTCACAGAGATTGCCTGATTCATCAGTAGCAGAATTAGTTATGAAGTAACAACGAAAATAATTTGATGGTTGGGGGGTCACCACCACATGAGGCACTGTATGAAAGGGTGGCAGTATGAGGAAGGTTGAGAACCACTGCTCTAGGCAGCCCATCTAAAGTGGCCAGATAAAATACCCCGTGAAATCTGAATTTCAGATACACACCTAATTTATTACTTCGTATCAGCAATTTTTTTTAAAGTGGAGGCATGTCCCCCAACACTTTATGGGATTTACACTAAAATGATGAACTTGGTGCTTCTCTGAAAGTCCAGTGGAACTCATTCTCAAAGACTTCGTTTGACTGGGATCCACAATCAAAGCCCATGGCGAGGAAATCCAGCGATGCTCTGCATGTGGCAAATGTGCTGTGAAGGCCTCTTTAAAACCTCAAACGTGCACCGATGTCGCCTTGGGGTCTCAGGTGCCCCTTCCCCAAGCCACGGTCTTTCTCATTGCTCTGTAGGCGCCTGAGAGCTGGCCCAGCCAAGGATCCCGAGAAGAACAGATGCCCCTAGTCACAGTGTCAGTGAGCGTGTGCCAGGCACCGTGGACGGCCAGGGGATGGCCAGAGGGCACAGGCAGAGTGCTCCTGAGCAGCGAGGACGGCATGGCTTCTTCTGGACGTGTCGTCGGGAGAGACCAGCCCTTGGAGAAGGACGTGGTGCTGCGGAGAGTAGAGAGGTGCTTGGGGAAAGAGAAGGCCTTCAACGAGGCGGATGGACGCCGTGGCACAGAAGAACAGTGTGAGGGTGGCGCAGCACCGGGTGGGATTCCATTCTGTTGAGCGGGAGGGACCATGCACTGGAGCATGGCGCGCACACGGGCACAACCCTGGCTGCCCTGCCTCTCTCCACCCCTGAGCTGGGAATCAAGAGGCCCTGCTTGTGGCCCCAGCCCACACCACACCCCCCAAACCCTGCCCTGACTCTGACAGGTGGGGTGCAGTGTGGGCAGGGTGGGGGACTTGCCGCCCCTCTCTGTGTCTCTGCCACAGGTTGCCCGCTGCCTCAAGGACAGGCTGGCTGTTTGCCGGGTTCTGAGCGTGAGTCACCAGGTCCCAGGGAAGGCATTGAGCAGCCGGGAGAGAAGCGCAGGGCCTTTCTGCTAAGAAATCAGCACCTGCCTCCTGTGGGTTTGGTGAACACCACTGGTTTTCAAGAGGCGACAGGACAGATGCCAGGTGGGGAGCAGAGAGTCCAGGGTGGAGGCTGGCCTCCTAGGGTCACCAGGCGAAGCAGCTCTCTTCCTCCCTCCTCTCCTAGCCCTCCTCTCTCCCGCCCTCCCACCCTCCTCCTCCCCTTTCCTCTGGCCCCTTCCCCCATCCCCACTACCCTCTCTTCTCCCTTCCTTTCCTCTCCCTCTCTGCCCATCCCTCTTTCTCCCCTCCCCCTGCACTCTCCTCCCCTCCTCTGTCCCCTCTCTCCACCTCTTCTCTCCTTTCCCTCCCTTGCCCCCTCCTCTCCCTGCTTTCGCTTCTGCCTGACAAGCAGAAAGGGTTCATTCAGCAATGGTTTGGGTGAGCCTACTGTGTGCCCGGCTCTTGCTGTCTTGGGCTAAGAGCTGGGGGTAGGATGGTGAGAGGCCCCTGTGTACCTGAACCTTAGCATCTGGAGGTGCAGCCTGGGGCACAAAACCAAGCTATAATCCTATTTGGAAGTGCACATGGCTGCCTTGGCCAGGCTGGCTGGGTACCCAAAGAAGGCCAGCAGGGGTATGGAGACCCTCAAACCAAACCGGGGGTAGGGGATGGGCGGCCTGGTTTCCCGGGGAGGTGGCAGAGAACTGAGTTGGGAGGATTAGGGGGAGAGATGTGCGGGAGCTGAGGGCCTTCGAGGAGAGTGTGCTGCGGTGTGGCTGTGGCAGGCAGGAGGGGAAGGCAGTCCCCTGGGTGGTAGCCCTGCGGTCGTCATGACTGCCCGCTGCCCTCCGGCTCACAGTGACTCCGCCCATGATGGGATGGTGAGTGGACCCCTGGGGGCCATATGGTTCTCATCGGCTGGTTTTCAGACAGAGGTTGCCAGTCCTTTCTTCCTGGCCTCTCTTCATCTGGAATCTGCCGCCAAGTTGATCCTGACCCATAGTAACTCCATGCACAACAGAAGGAAACCCTGCCCGGTCCTGCGCCAACCTCACAACTGTTCTTGTGCCCGAGCCCATTGTTGCAGCCACTGAGCCAGTCCATCTCCCAGAGGGCCTCCCTCTCTCTCGCTGACCCTCTGCTTGACCAGGCAGGTGTGCTTCTCCAGGGACGGGTCTCTCCTGACAACACGTCCAATGTCTGTCACACAAAAGGCCATCCTGGCCTCTAAGGAGCACTCTGGCCGCACTTCTTCTAAGACAGACTTGTTTGTGCTTTTAGCAGTCCATGGTACTTTCAATAGTCTTCTCCAGCACCGCAATTCAAATGCTCGATTCTCCTTCAGTCTTCTCTCCGCTCTCTAGTGCGGCAGAAATACCACAAGGGGGGCACTCCAGCAAACAGAAGCTTATTTCCTCACAGTTTAGGAGACCAGATATCTGGATTCAAGGCCCCGAATGTAAGAGAAGGCTTCTCTCTCTCTGTCAGCTTCTGGAGGATGGTCCCGGTCTATGTGAGGAAGGGTTCTCTAGAGAAGTGAAACCAAGACACTTATAATTACATAGATCTAGATATATAGAGATAGGTTTATACAGCGAGAAGGAATATAACAGCTAATTAGTCCACACAACAATACAGAGGGCTCAGTGCAACTCACTTCCATGGAACAGCTAATATACTAGAAGTCCTTCAACTCTCGTGGGCTGCCGGGTCCAGGGTCAAGAAAGCAGACAGCAGAGTCCTCCCTCGGACAAGGCAGGTAGAGTCTACCCATAGGCAGCAGGCAGCAGGGTGGGTCAGCAACAGTCAGTAGCTCAGGTGCTTAGCGAAGCAGGCCCGGATGGGATATCAAACTCAAGCAATGCACGACAACAGGATCCACCAGGCTCCAGCTCTAGTGATGTATGCACCAGCAGCATGGTGAAGCTGGTGTCAAAGGAGCCTCAAGCTCTAGCAACACAATCCATGGCTTGGCTCGGCCCACAGGTAGTGTCGCTCACAGGCTGAGGCAGGGAACTAGCTAAAGCAGCAGCACACTGGTCCGATCACCAGAGAGCAAGAGAGAGGGGGACGGGCCTTGCAGAGCCATTTATCTCTTTGCCCTCCAATCAAACTGCAACCTGATGACTCCCACATGTTCCTATTGGCCAGGCTGGCACAATAAACCTGCCTATCACGTGGTCTCTCTGAGTGTCTGTCCAGGTGTCATCTTCATGTGGCATGGCTCCTTTCTCCCCAACTCTGTTTCCTTCTCTTTTCTGTCTCAAAAGAGACTCTCAGCTCTGGGCTTTCCTCAACCCCTTCAGACCAAAAGGGCAGTGGTTCTGAAAGACAAACTCCAGGGGGTTAGAAAGGGGGAGGACTGGGCACCAGAGCAGAGAAGAGGAAGTGGGACACATGAGGGGGCATTGAGGGGCTTCCAGAGATGAGGCTCAGGATGCACATGAACTGTCAGTTAAGATACTTTGACCGGCTCTGTAAACTTGTCCAACCAGCAACGGGTGTTTAAAATTTCTTTTAAGAAGCATATTGGAATCTGCTGAAAATGTAAACACATTGGAAAAGGGTTTTATGAGCTGTGTAAATTAAAAAATTCAATATTGCACACCGGGGGGGTGTTGTGTGTGTTCATTTTGCTGAAGGGATAAAAAAAAAGAGTGAGTCAAGATACATCCTCCATCCATCCTGCCTCGTTAACATGACAAAGATAACCGCCATGGACGAAGTTGTGTCGCCCCAAAAGATGGGTCGTGACTCCTCGCCTCTGTGCTATGGGTCTGTAATCTCATTTCGGAATGGGCTGTCGCGTTACCGCAGGGAGGCAGGATGTGTACGGGCTGTGCCTGGAGCCTATCTCATTGAGATACGAAAGAGATTAGACCAGAGAGCAGGGAGGTAGGGATGGAGGATGGGGAGGTGGCAGGATGCAGGGAATCTCCGAGGACCCAGAAAGCAGATACTGAAGAGACGGGCCGTCCTCAGGAATCCACAAAAGAGACAAAGCCTTCCTAGCCCAACAGCTTACCCTCTGAGTTTGACTCCTAGCCTCTCAAAGAGTGAGAAAATAAATGTCTGCTTGTGAAAGCCACCTCCTTGTGGTGTTCCCGCTGACACAGCTCCTGAGAACGACGGCCCGCAGGTTAGGATTTACAACGCGCTGTTGTGGGGCCCGGGGCCAATTCAATTCGTAATATCACTTGGTGAGCCACCCTAATTCCATCTCCACCCGGACTCCCCTGTGCCGTGTCCCCTAGCATGTTTGCATGTCCTGGGATTAGGAGGAGGTCATCTTGGGGCCGGTGGGGCATGCCCCTGTCCACTGTGCCATCAAGAGAAACAAGTGCAGGTCACCGAAAGACCACCAGTGGGAGGTTGCTTACGGGAGCCTGGTCTCCAAACTCGAGAGAAATCCAAATGCCACAGCAGCAGAGTAGACCAGGAACTCATGGTGCTGATAGGTGCTCTCGAGTCCCTACGGACAACAGAAGGACACACTGCCCGGACCTGGGCCATGTTCACACTTGTTCCCGTGTCTCAGCCCATGGTTGCAGCCACCGGGTCACTCCATCTCCTCAAGAGCTTTCCTCTTTCTGTATCAAGCACGGGACTGGTCTCCATAGAATTCCATATTTGTTTCTACTGTTGGCTGCTGCTGAGCCAGCCGCCAGCTCCCAACAACCTAGGGCACCGTGGAAGGAGACGGTGCCCAGTCTTTCGCCAAGTGCTTCATAGGGGTTTCACTGGCTCTTTCTCTCTTTCAGCCCATTGCCAGGCCTTTCTTCCTAGTCTTCCTTCGTCTGGATGCTCCCCACTGCAAGATGGCCAGCATCACCGCAGCACACAGGCCTCCACTGGCACCCAGTGCTGCCTGCCCATGAGGAGTATGGACCAGGGCTTCCACACGAGACACGAGGATGCTACATGCTAGACTAGCAGTACCCCCTCAGAAAAGAACACATATACCAGTGAAAAAGACACAGCATAACATGGATGAATCTCACAGCTGTTAACGTTGAGCAAGCACACGTGGGGCACGAAGGAGTGCAGACTCTGGGATTCCATTGATAGGAAGTTCAATATCGGACCAGAGCAATCTATGGCAGAGAGGTTACAGCGGTGGTGACCTCTGGGAGGTGGGTGTGGATTGGGAGGCGGGCGAAGAACTGGAGATGTTCTGTTCTTCCTGCGGGGTGGTCTGTATAGGAGGGGGTCATGTACTCGTAGAAGACCATCACATTGAGCATGTGATGCTTGTTCATGTTAAGGTGTAGAAGTTATATGCTTTTTTTTTCTTTTTAATTGGGAGTCTGTGTTTTAGGACTGATGGTAAACCACAGCAAGACTTAAGGCAGTGATTCTGATACAATTCGATGCTCGTTTATAAAAGCCTCCGTATTGGGTGGGGCGAAATGAGGAGTGAGGGTAGTTAAGAAGCTGCTGCTATTATCCTTGAGGGGGACAAGGGGGCCCCGGGCTTGGATGGTGTGACTGGCTTCAAGGGCTGTCTCGGAGGAAGAATTGATAGAACATGATGTAAGGGTTTGCAGTGGTGACGATCATGTGTCAACTTGGCTAAACCAGCATTCTCAGTGGCTTGGTTATATTTGGGGATCTAATGTGAGCAGCCAATCAAGTGAAAGGGGTGTGGCCTGCATCCTATATATATGGCTGTTCTGGCAAAATTGGCCCTCCCTTGATCCTGCGTGTGATTCGTCATCCTCTAACCTCCAGGTCTCGGAGTGTGAACCAGCAGCCTGCCGTCTAACACACCGTTTGGTGCTCAGCCAAGTTTCTGTGGTTCTCTGAGTGAGCAACCTGTCTACTGACCTGTTGAATTCGGGTTCCCCAGTCTCTGCAGCCTCTACCCATAGACCTGGGACGTGCCAGCCTCCACAGCCACCAGCTTGCCTGTCAGCTTGCAGTCCTGGGGTGGCCCGTGTGTCCCTGTGATGCTGGAAGCGATGTTGTTGGTATTTCAGATACCACCAGGGTCATCCCAGGTGAACAAGTTTGAGCTGAGTTCCAAACTAACCAGACTACAGAGAAGGACTAGGACGCTTGCTTTTGAGACATTACCCACTGCAGGCCTCACGGACAGCAGCAGAACATTGTCAGATAGACATATGGTGGGAAGGCACACACCATGTGTCCGAGGAAGAGCTGCCATCTCAAAGCGGAGCCAACGATGGGGCTGGAGCGAAGCCTTCAGGATCTTCGTTTGCTGATGGAGACGAGTTGTAAAATCTAATACTAACTGGAAGTTGGAATGTCCAGAGCATGAACCTAGGAAAATTGGAAATAGTAAAATAATGAAATCGAACACGACCTCTTTGGGGGTCAAACGACCCTTTCACAGGGGTCGCCCGATTCATCACAGGAGCAACACGACAGTGATGAAGTAGCAATGAAAATAATTTTATGGCTGGGGGTCACCACCACATGAGGAATCGTATGAAAGGGGCTCGGCATGAGGAAGGTTGAGAACCGCTGTCCTAAGCATTCGTGAGCTGGTGGTGGACAGGTGTCAGCCACTTTGAACTGGGCAGCCGTATGGCTTACCATGCCGGGCATGGCACAATCAGGAGGAATGGTATTGCACTCATGTGACAAAGGACATTTCAAGCTCTATCTTGAAGCACAGGGCTGTCCGTGCTAGGGTAATATCTATCCGAATGCAAGGAAATCCCGTCAGTGAGCTATTATCTATCCAGATGTATGCATCAACCCCTAAAGCGAGTGATGAAGAAGTGGAAGCATTTTACCAATGTCAGACTTTTACCTCTAGTCAGAAATGGATCCACATGTCTTCGAGGTGCCCGGATCATTGTTGGCAGTTGGAGTACAGAAGTTGAGGACAAAGAGGAGGGAACAGTGGTTGGAGAATATTGCTGATATTTGGTGATAGAAGCGAAGCATGGCAGAATCGGGCAAGACCAAGAGGTGGTCAAAGCAAATGCCTTTCTTCCACAGCCCAAACCGTGCCTGTGCATGTCAACTTCTCCAGATGGAGCACCAGGAAATCAAACGGACTCCCTCTGCAGTAAGCGGTGATGGGGAAACTCGGCATCCGCACCCAAAAGGAGACCAGGAGCTGACGGCGACACAGACGGTCACACGTGAAGTCAATTCAAGTGGAAGTGGAAGGAAGGGAAAAGAAATTCACGTGATCACCCTGACCTCGGGCAGAGACCAATGTCATCTCTGTTATGCTGGATCGAACTCGGCACTGGGCCAGCTGACTACCCCATCAGTTTGTTCTGGGTGCAGGCATCTCTTACTGGTTCCACGACAGAAATTTTTTCCCTGGCTTTTTGAGTGCTGATGGGGGTCTTTTCCTTCTTACACGTCATTTGTACTTGGGTCTGTGTACTCTTATGATTTTATCCTCACCCCCTTCGTGCGATTTTGTTTTTTATTGTATTCTGTTGGGTCTCCCAGGGGTGAAGCACAGGAGGAGTGGAGGCATAATGATAATAACTGATAATTGGGGATATAGGGAACACAGGGGTAGGTGACAGGGAGGGAAGAGGGATTTGGGGAGTAAATAATGAAGATGGGAGGAGGGAGGGAGTATTAGAACGGATTGTGATTGCAGAACTCATTTTAAAGGCAATGTAACCTTTGGGGGAGGGGTGCTCAAAATTGATGTGGTAACAATTCTCTTTGATATAATTGAATGATTGAACTATTGAATTGCATGATATGCAATAAAACTGTTGGGGGTGGGGGGAAGAAGTTCACAGGAGCGGAAATACGACCTTGAGCGTACCCCAGCTGACTCTCCAGGGCATCTCGAGAACAGATTTGACTCATTGTGCACTAAGGACAAAAGACCTGCCGAGCAGTGGGAGGGCGTCAGGAACATCATCCTGGAAGAAAGCAAAAGAGTCCTTTAAAAGAAAGGCAAGAAAGCGAACCTCAAAGTGGACACCAGAAGAGACTCTGAAAGGTGCTCTTGATCAGAGAGTCGCTGAGGCCGATGGAAGAAAGGAAGAGGTCCAAGAGCCGAACAGACTATTTCAAAGGGCGGCTCGAGAGGACAGAGCGAAGTATGAGCGTCAAATGTGCAAAGACCCCGGGCTTTGGAAAACCGGACCGGAAGGGCACGCTCGGCTCATCTTGAACAGAAAGAACTCAAGGAAAACATCCAAGCCTCGGGTTACACGATGCAAAGAGGCTAGGGGCGAAATCCTGGCCAAGGCGGGAAGCATCGAAAGAAGAGAGGACTACACAGAGTCAGCATATGATCAGGAACCAACGGTGCTGAAGGAAGAAGCCCTGGCTGCGCTGGAGAAAAGCAACAGGGGACGCATCCCCTCGTCTGGTGACTGGTGTCCAGAAAGCGTGGATGAATCACGCTCCTCAGCGAGCGGGTAGGTTTCCCCAGAGGCATCTGTGTTTACACTCCTATGGCTCCCCAGTGCCCTGAGGAGATAGACTAGTGTACTATCATGCCCATCGGGGAGCAGGTGCTTACAAAGAGGCTTGGTTTAATGAGATGCAAGGATCCCCTCCCCAATCCTCTGGGCATGACTGAGGGTTCTGGGGAAAGAGCTGGTGATGCCCAAGTGAGTGCAGAGTGCAGCAGGAGTGGAGAAACCTCGCAAAAGTCAGCAGGCCCCTTTCCTTTCTCTGTCATCACTACTGCCCCCCACCCCCACTGCACCAACCACCACCACCCCCTCCTCCAGCATCACCACCATCACCAGGGAGGTGGGGGACTCTCTGATTGCAAATTGGGCTTTCTCGTCTGAAAGATTCGGGCTGGCAGGCTCCCCCCGAAGGAGACCCATGACGCAATAGTTAAGCACTCGGTTGTGAAGCAGAAGGTTGGCGGTTCAAAGCCGCCTGCAGTTCGGTGGGAGAAAGACCTGGGGGTCTGATCCCATAGAGTTTGCACATCCAAGAAGCCCATGGGCAGAGCCCTGCCGTTCTGTCCTCTGGAGGGGCTAGGAGTCAGAAGCGATGATGCTGGCACCCGGCAACAACGGGGTCTCCCCTCAGCGGGTGGGAACACTTTGCCCCTTGGAGGGGACCTTGTCACATCCATGTGGCAACTGATCTTTTCATCCCTGCTTTACGGCAAAGTCATGCTGCCTGGCCCTCACTTGCCCCCGTACCCCACAGAGGGAGAGCTGAGGGAGGCAGGGAGCGGAAAGGCCTGGCGGGTACGAGAAGGTGGAATCCTACCAGGAGGTGCCCTGCTGATCCAGGTGCCCCAAGACCCAGTCCCCATGCACATCCTACCCCCTTGCCAACACATCTCCCTGTGGGAGGCTGCCGGCTCAGGCCTGAGTGTTTCTCTCGCCTCCCCAGGCAGGCTGAGTCTGTGCTATTTGGGTAAACAGTCTACCTCTGCCTCGTCAGCTGCAGACTTATTTACCAAGCCACGCCTTCCCACCACCCCATCCCGAGGGCCAGGATGCAGGTGGGAATGAGCACCCAAAACTCCAGGAATGGCAGGCGGTCCCAGCTCCTATGGGTGGCCGATGACTGGCCTCTGGACGCCCAGGCTGTGCCCGGCAAAGTCACGTCCATTCTTTAACCCAGACGCCTCCCTGGACTTTCCACCTCTGGGGACAAGCTCAACTAAAGTCACCAGGCCCCCGAGCTGTGACGTCATGATTATCCTCTACTTGAAAGCCATGCCCACTTTAACTGCTGGCTCCCTGCCCTGAGCCAACGCACCATGCTGCACTGCCACCCCGACCCCACCCCACCCCCAGCAAGTCCTGAGAAAGGTGGCCACTCCATCCCTGGTCCACGGGACAGGGTGGTCAGGGGATTGGTGCCCAGCTAAGGGATTTTGCACTTATCTTCCTGTGCACAAGCCACTGACCACGGTCAGCCCATGGCCAGCTGACCTGCAGTTGCTCCAAGCAGAGTCTGGGACCGGGCACAGCTGCGCCAGCTGTCGGAGACAGATTACCCTCTGCAGCTCAGCCGAGACTCACATTCCAGTGCAGGGGAAAATTCACAAAAAGCCCCACCCCCACCCCCCCACCCCCGAGTCTCTGACGTGCCAAAAAGAATCATCTTGGGTTTGTCTTGCAAGATGTTCAGCAGGGCAGACGGAGGGAGGGGGTGGGGAGGAGGCGACAGGGGACTCTGCCTGTCACACACCCTGGATCGGGTCTAATAACAGCACTCAGCGTTTAATCAGCCCCTTTGTGAAAGCCGGCGATGTCACACTCGCTAATTAGTTAATCCACACAGCCCCTGGGGGGAGGTGGGGGAGGAGCCATGTCATTATCCCCAT